CATCAGAAAGGGAGACAGAACATGAGAGACTCCTAACTCTGGGAAACGAACTAGGGGTGGTGGAAGGGGAGGAGGGCGGGAGGGTGGGGGTGACTGGGTGGTGGGCACTGAGGGGGCACTTGACGGGATGAGCACGGGGTGTTATTCTGTATAATATTGGCAAATTGAACACCAATAAAAAATAAATTTATTATTAAAAAAAACAAAGACTCTAGACATTAGTCAGAATTCACTGAAGCGTATACTTGAAATTGCTGAATTCTACTGTATGAAAGTTATATCACAGTAAAGCAAATTGAAGTATGTATATATAAGAACCTGCACAGCCTCTCTGCTTTTCTGTATCTGACTCAGAGTAAGCAAAATTTGGTAACCCTCTGGCAACAGAAAATAAACACAGCTTAATTTCAAAATACAGAGCTAGAAGTTGTTGTAAAAGAATAATAGCTTCAGCAGCCACTGCACGAGTTGCCAAGACTTTACTGGATGCATTCCATCTCAAGATATGGCGTTTAGTCTCTCAAGGTCTTTGGACACCCAGAAAGTGGGTCGTCTTTCAGAATATCTGCGTCACTGTGGAGAACATGTCACTAAATCAAAAAACCAGCTGGATTTATTCTTAAATTGGCAAAAATACATACTTACTTGGAAGTACTATTAATCCTTTCGCTCACTGGACAGGGAAGATCGGTTTTATGGTGTTGATTACCTTTGGTTCTGTTGGTACTTTATATTCTTTTGGTGGAGGAGATGTATTCGGCATTAAACTTGTGCTTTGGGAAAGCAGAGATTATGTGACTGCTTGATTCTGAAGCTTAAAAGTGTGAAATTAAGACTAATAGCAAATATTTTTACTGAGTAAGTTGGAACACTCAAGCAATTATTTTAATTATTTAAAACAAAATTATTTTGCCTAAAATATTCAATTATTAGTGCCAAAGCATTGTTCTGGATTGAATTCTCCAGATAATTCTGCTTTTGGCAACAAGTTATAGAAAACCAACTTAAAATGGGTTTACAATAAGCCCATTTCCTGCCTCATGTATCTGGAATTCTAGAGTTCTAGCAGCAGTTGGGGTTGGCTAGACCTGAGTTTCAAGAATCCCATGGAGCCATGGTTTCCTCCATCTCTAGTCTGCTGACAGGGTGGCTTCAGTTTCATACTGGTTCCCTCCTGGGTATAGGATAGCTGCTAAGTTCTACTTGAGCCCACCTTTTTCTCATTAATTCTCTGAGAGGAGAGAGAGATTCCTTCAGGAACCTCGACTTAAGGTCAGTGAAGGACTTTCTCAAGACCATTTCTCATTGGCTCAAATTGGATCACATGCCCGGTCACTGGCAGGAGGTCTCCCCTACAACTGGAAGCAGAATCAGCGCCCATGAGAACAGGAATTGATGATGTGGGGGGAGGGGTGCGTCTCCGAAAGAGGGGGAGCAGTGGGGGCTCTATTAAGAATGAGAAAATGTGAATGACATGGAGCCAACACAAAAAAGGTACTGTAGGGTCGAATTTAAATCCATTACTTTAAAGGTAACCTGTATTTCTTCTTATTAGGAAAAATTCTCTAGGCTTAAATTTTAATTTTAAGAGAATATTTATAGCAAAAAGGAAGTAAAACCACTGTAATCCCACTACCCTATGAGAACTATTGATACAAGAATATTTTAAACATTAAAATAATTATTATACTCTGCATACTGCAGGCACAGTAGAGCATAATGGTTAGCAATATACAGACTTGGGTGTTAGCCCCCCCATTCATCTACTTACTGTCTGTGTGTCCTCGATGGGTAAGCTACTTATCTTTCCTGTGCTTCAACTTCTCTCTGTGATGGATATAAGAATAATATTTATAAGGTCCAACAGCACTAACCCTCTAGTTCAGAGGTCAGCAATCTATAGCCTGCCTGCCAGACCTGGCTTACTACCCGTTTTTATAGACAAAGTTTTATTGGAATCCAGCCATAGTCATCGATTTATGTATCCATCTATGGATGCTTTCAGACTATAATGGCAAAGTTAAGTATCTCTAACAGAGACAATATTACCCACAAGACTAAATTACTTATAATCTGGCCCTTTGCAGAGAAAGTTTGCCAACCTCTGGTCAGACCAACAGAGCTCTCTTGTCTTGTCAAAATCTAGCATGTCAAAAAATAAAAAATAAAAAAAAATCTAGCATGTCATATTTCTGTGGTTATGTAGTAACTTAACCAGTCTGGAGATATGATCAAGAAAAAATGACATCTGCAGAGCTAACATGAAAGCAAGAGATGCTCAGTTATTTTATCAGTTAGAGATAGTTAAGGACTGTGAGTAATTTAAAAATCTATACAGGTATTTAAATGTCAAATTTTCCTGAATTGACCAGAGATCTTGAAATATATGATACATGATCTCCCTTGAACTCTGAGGTGTTGACATTGAGACATGAATGAAAGCACATTTGTACAGAGTCTTATCTAGCCGATAGAAGTCATAGCTATGGAGAGAAGATAAGACTGAAGAGGGAATGAAAGAGAAGCTATAACAAATTATTGCAAATATTGCTTTAGAAAAGAAAAGATTGTCACCATCTGTGTGCTCTGAGGGAGCAGTGGTACAGATGTGTGGATGGGAAGAGCAAACAGGGACTCCCCAGAGAAAAGGGAGTAGTCTGAATGAGCACAGCCAAGCTGATGCAAGTATGAGCTGTGGAAGACCGCCAAGTGTAAAGAAAAGAGTCATTGGAAAAAGTGATACATCCATGGAGGGCAACTGCCTTCATAGTATGGGGTAGTTTTGGTCTTGAGTATAAAGATCTTCAAGCTCTAAATTATTTTGGTCAAACTAACTTTTCCATAAAATAGTATTTTAACTAAAGGTTAGATTTTTGGCCAAGTGTGTAATGTCCTTCCTTAAAAATGAAGCGACCATCAACTACAAAGTTTTCTAAAATAAAAATCCTTTGATACATTCAGTGGTGCAGTGTGAGCATTAAAATAAAGGATGTCCATCAACTACCTGATTTCAAATCCTGCCTCAACCACCTTCCCTCTAATCCTTGAAGTCCAAAACCTTGTTTTTCTTATTTATAAAACAGGATTGATAAAAGTAGTAACTTCAGAGTTTTGATGAGAATCAAATGAAATAGTCCACGTAAATCTAACAAAGATTCCATGTTCCTTAGAAGTGAAACATTTTAATGTGGAAAAGATACAGAAACTAATTGTGGAAAACATTTTGATAACCAACCATATTATGATATGTTGTTGTAATACACTACGTTATTTCATTTTTGGTATTCCTGCCTTATTTTTGGAGCAGCAAAGGTGAAGCTAGGTCTTAAAAATCCTTAGAATTTAGAGGAGTACATCAGGGAACATTTTTATAACCATTGTATTAGATAGAGTAAGGTCAACCTGCTGCTGAAACAGAGACCCAAAAAATATAATGACAGAAAGAAAGAAAGAAGAAAGAAAGAAAGAAAGAAAGAAAGAAAGAAAGAAAGAAAGAAAGAAGAAAGAAAAAAGAAAGAAAAGAAAGGAAGGAAGGAAGAAAGAAAGAAAGAAAGAAAGAAAGAAAGAAAAGAAAGAAAGAAAGAAAAAGAAAAGTGTCTTTCTCCCTAACATGCCCACCCAGAGGTAAGCAGCCCAGCACTGGAAGGCAGCTGTGCTCTGTGAGGGCCTCCAGGACCCAAGTTCCAATTATCTTGTTTCTGCACTTCTACTGTCACTTGCAGCAGGTTGTCTAGAAGAAGCTGGTTTTCTAGCGTCTTCTTCCATCCCTTAGAAGAGGAAAGGCAGTGAATGAAGAGCAAGCCATTTCCTTTTAGGGGATTGGATCAAGAACTTGTGTACATGGCTTCTATTCCCACCCCATTGCTGACATCTCAATCAAAGAGCCACCGATAGTTGGAAGGGAGGCTAGAAAATGTGGCTTTAGCTGGGTAGCCATGTGCCCAAATAAAATTTAGTGAATTCTGTTATCAAAAGAGAGAAGGAAAGAATGGATAGTAGAATCAATTAGCAGTCTTCCACAGGTATTGTCATGGAAACTAGTACAATTTCACTGACTCTGAGACCCTATTGATTGTAAGACCCATCATTTTACGTACCCCCAAGTAAGAAAGCCATGCTATGAAACATATTATTAAATGGATTGTTTTCTCATCAGCTCAGTTGGAGGACAGGTCCCAATTTAAGAGATGTTCAAATGTGAAAAATATGTGTGTTGGTATAGAAGAAATACAGTATTAGAATGACATAGAAAGAGAAAGTCATCCGAAAACATTGATTTTGCAGTCTTCTTTTGCTTGTGTGTGACTTTCCTAGGAGCTGGCATAGACAGGAGACATCAAGCTTTGACTCATCAAGTGTAACGCTTAGCCTCTGTGACTGACAAAGTGCCTGCTGCTCGGTTTCCTTTGCAGTGCCTTATACATTGCAGGCAAACAGCAATATTTATTTCATATAATTAAAGAAAAGACCATCTTCTTGGATGGCCAAGTGGAGATGAGCTGAATTTTCCTGGGTCAGAAAGATGCTAGACTCCAGTAAATGGAAGCAAACTGATACCTTTGGTGCTGTGCTTGTTCTTGAATTTAAGATACTCTCATTTGCTAACATAAGGTTGATAATTTTTAAAAATGTTCATTTGGATCCCACCTGCTTTTGCCCCTTTTACATTTATTTTCTCCAATTCAATAGATGCACAAATGTATTTGACTGTAAAACACACCTCTTTTTCTTGGTTCGTCAGAGCGAACTAGCACCAGGGCCAGGGGTACTCACCAGAGAACAGCCTCTCAGAGCAGCAACCGCTGCTTTGTGAATTTGACCATTTATAACTGCTAGAGAATCAAACTCTTCATTCTCAGGTTTTGAGACATAGTCGTGAAAGACCCTGTCAGCTCAGTCAGATCGTTTGGCTCGGTGGCTTTGAATCTGGTCAATGAAAATCTATAATATGCAGGTGTGTCTTGCTGTATTTGCTACTGAAATCTGCTTCTCTTGTATAGATCACTGTTACAGATGAGGAAGTTAGTAATCCATCCTTTTTAGATCTGGTGAGGACTCCCCAAATGAGGAAATGCACACTTATTCTTATGTTTGCTTGGTAAGTCTGACTTGTGATGGGCTCAAAAGCTTGTATTGAATTTACCACGCGTCCCTTCCTTCATGTCAGGCTGAAGTTATGTCTCACTTGGTCTCCGTTGTCTTTTGATGTCGCTCCAGGTTCACAAGTGCGGTGGTTTATCAGGGCCTCGTCATGCGCCTGGGAATTATCGGAGGCAACCTCTATATCGACTTTTTCATCTCGGGAGTTGTGGAGCTGCCCGCTGCCCTCTTGATCTTACTGACCATTGAGCGTTTTGGACGGCGCCTTCCGTTTGCGGGAAGCAACGTAGTGGCAGGAGTGGCCTGTCTTGTCACTGCGTTCTTACCCGAAGGTAATAAGACAGTCTTAAATCAAAATAATCAAGAATGGGGACCCTCTTGTCCTTAGAAAATGTACCTCCGCCTCAGAATCTGGGGACCAGACAAGCTGTAGTGATGTCACTCAATTTTCTGCTTAAGCAGCGTAACGACTCTGATCGGTTCTACAGGTTTTTCTGTTTCCTCCATTTTAGGTTCATTTATGGATGAAATAGATGTTGTGCAAAATCTAGCTTGTAGTCATATAGTTTATTCTTGATCACCTTTATTTAACTTACTTTCATGCTATCATTGATCATGCTTACCATATTTCCTGCTTACGGGCCCTGTCGCTGGCCCTGGGTGAAACACCAGGGGTACAAAAGGAAGAAAGGAAGATGCTTGTTGACTTCAAAAGGTTCACCTAGTAAGGGATATGGATACTTTTTTAAATTTGTTTTACTTTCAAGTTTTTATTTCAAGTCTAGCTAGTTAACATATAGTATAAGATTAGTTGCAGGTATAGGATTTTGTGATTTATCACTTTCTTAAGACACCCAGTGCTCATTACAAGCACTGGGTGCTTAATGCCCATCAGCCATGTAGCCAATCCCCCCTCCACCCACCTCCCCTTCCAGCAACTCTCAGTTTGTTCTCTAGAAATAAGAGTTTGTTTTTCCTTCTTTCCCCTCCCCCTATGTTCATCTGTTACATTACTTAAATTCTACATATGAGTGAAATCATATGGTATTTGTCTTTCTCTGACTGACCTGATGTAGCATAATACTCTCTAGTCCTTCCCATGTTGTTGCAAATGGCAGGACTTCATTCTTTTTTTTGTGGCTGAGTAGTATTCCATTATTTCCAACATCTTTATCCATTTATCAGTCAATGGACATTTGGACTTTTTCCATAATTTGGCTATTGTTGATAATGTTGCTATAAACATTGAGGGGGATGGTATAGACACTTTAATGCTTTCACAACTCACTGTGATAAATGAAATAATTGAATTAGTTACAGTTGACCCTTGATGCAGGGGTGGGGATGCTGACTTCCTGCATGGCCAAAAACCTGCATATAACTTGTGACTCCCCAGAAACTTAACTAATAGCCTACTGGTGACCAGAAGCCTTGCCCATAACAAAAGAGTTGATGAACAGATATTTTGTATGTAATCTGTATTATATATGTGTTCTTATAATAAGGTAAGCTACAGAAAAGAAATTGTTATTAATAAAATTGTAAGGAAAATACATTTATAGTACTGTGTAAAAAAATGTATGCATGTAAATGGACCTATGTAGTTTAAACATGTTGTTCAAGAGCCAATTGTACCAGATTTAGAAAAATAAAGCTCTTTGAAGGTTCTACATGATTTAAAAAATGTAGGTACAAGGAGTGAAATGCATGGTGTAATTAGGAAAAGCTTCACAGAGGTGAGAGCTAGGCACATATGAAAAAGGAAAAGAGATGTGCTGGACATGGGTGCCTGGCTGGCTCAGTCAGAAGAGCATGTGACTCTTGATCTCAGGGTCATGAGTTCGAGCCCCATGTTGGGCGTAGACATTACCAAAAAATAATACTAATTAACTTCTTTAAAAAAGAAATGTACTAGACAGAAGGGAAGAAGGGAAGGAGAGATTTTTTCCACAGTAGAACAGGGTTCCTAGAAGTAGGAACCATCTTTGAGGGTTCCAGGAGTACATGTTCTCTGTTATCACTGGAATATCCACAAAAAAGGGGCTGAGGATCACTTGCCACCAGCGGTGACTGGCCTCACAGGCCATGCCAGGAGCTTGGGCACAGTCCTGAAAACTTCTTTCATAGCCGCATCACGTTGGATGGTGGCAGTGAGGAAGGAGAGATGCGGAGAGCAGGAATTAAGGTCATGACAGTTGGCCTGGGTAGGAAAGAGAGAGGGTGATTTCGGGGAAGTGTCAGAGGTTGTGAGGGGGCTGGGGCTCGATGACCAGGGCATGTGGCAGAGTGGCAGATGACCCCAGATGCATGGTTAACACAACCTGCCTTATCTCTGCCACAGGACCGGGTCCTAGGGAATGTGCGAATTAGAACAAGTTCATTATTTCCGTGTTACAGGATGTGTGGGGTGGGGGGTCACTGAGAGAGCAGATTCTCTGGTAGTCCTTGTGTGAGCCCCAGAGAGGCTGTCTTTTCTTCTGAGAATCATCTGAAGATCAAGAGAGAAGGGATAATATTGTGGAAAAGTGTAAAAAATGATTGCCACCACCAAACTAGGTGTGGGAAGAGAGCCTGAATGAGATAGATGCAACTCCGGTCCTTGCAAATAACGCACAATCTAAGTAGAAGGGTGACGAATCAGGAACATTGGAGAGTTCACTGTTGTTTCCATTTTACTCTGACATCGTATCATTTGGGGTTTAATTCCCTACAGCAAGGTCTTCTCTTCTCATGGCACGTGGAATTAAGTATCTGTTGCATAGGAAGTTAGGGAAGCGTGGAGAAATGAGTTACAGGTGACCCATCATTATATGATGTAACATTCCCCTGGAAGATTCTCTGGGCCCCAGACTGACCGGGGTGATTTTGATGTGTGCTGCATTCTGCGTGATGCCAGAGAGCATTCTAGGCCATACATCCACACCGGCGTTGGAGTAACTAGGTGTGTGGGAATCGAGCTGTTTTGTAGAGAGCACTTTCATATATGGGAAAATATAAGGCAAAGAAAATTTGCCTTTCTGTTTGGTCCTATCAGTTTTATTTTGAGGACATAATTTCCCTATTACAGCCTTCGAATCATTCTCAGCAATACTGAAAAATAATTGCTCTTATTCTGGACACCTCTTATTTGTATCTTCACAGACTCAGCTGCTGGTATAGTCATAGGTCGGGCATGATTGGCAGGAATAAACCCACATCCCTAATGCTCCTCGGGAGTACCACATTTTAACAGCAGTCCCTCACTTGGGTTGGCAGCCCTTCTACTGAAGGGAGCTCTTGGACTTAGTTACTTGGGCTGTTGAATTAACATTAGAAAGATTTCTCTCAGTCACTCTTGGGGTCAGGAAGAGGAGGGCAGCCCCTGCGGAGAATGCTGATTAGCCTTTTAGTGGAATCAGCTCTAAAATTATCAAGAACAATTTAACAGGCTTTCCCTCCACTAAGCACAACTTTTTATGGTCTGAAGAATGGGATTCTGGAAAAAAGAAAGCTTTTCTGGGTGTATCTTCACTTAAGCCTCCCTGCTTTTGAACCAAATTTTTGAACTCTGATTAAAGTCTGAAAACGAGAAGGGTTTCTTTGTCCATAGCCATCTGCATCTTTCATTTGGGTTTGTTTAGGATGGCTACAAACCTAGCCGTTTGGGTAAGTATTCTTCATTTTGAAACAGGAAGGCTGCCTTTTACTTGTATTTCTCTTTAAGTGAAAAGTCAAAAAAAAAAAAAAAAGAAAGAAAGAAAGAAAAAAAGAAAAGACAATGTACCTTAATTTACATAGCTCTATTACAAATTTTCTCTACGTTTTATTTCAGAAACCAAAGCAGGTGGTGTATCAGAGGAGATGTAAAATAGTGCTTCTTTAAAATCCTGTATCCTTTTTTCAAAAATTGAGGTATTATTCCCAGTAAACTCTGGCCCCTTGACCAAATCCCTATTCCGAGGCACCGTCTTTGTGCATAGTTCCAGCCTCAGTACTCATTTGTAAATTGTCTTGTGTTCTTTTGTCATTGCTACTGAAAGGTGTCTCCTGCCACTCCAAGAGGAACGCAGTATATTACTGGGATGGTCAGAAGTTTCTTCCTGCGGACGTCATACTCACACATCATTCACATCATTCACGCTGCCTAACAAATTGCTTTCATTTCACTCTCTAGTTAACGAACAGCGCGGTGCCTTTGGGACTTGTGTTTTATCACACATTTCACCAAAACCTCTAGCTCAGTGTGGTTAGACAGTGGCCTCTGCTGCTCAGAATGAGTTGAGAGTCTTTCAGAGCAAAGTCAGCATGTAGGATAAACCACGTCTCCTCCAGGATGGCCACTTGACAGCATTTTCTGAACATTTTATTCACTTGACTGGTTATTTATCTGTATTCACTGAGTGAACCACATATTTTTTGGGTGTGAGTGTGTGTGTTCATTTGGTGTCTTGGTTTTTGTTTGATCCTTTCCAGCAAACAGTTCTGGCCTCAGTTGTAAACTAAAACTGTCATTGAAGTTACCAGCAGGACTCACAGAGTAGTCTTGATTCAGTAGAAAAAACCTATAACTTAAGAACTTAGGCTGGGGGACGCCTGGGGGGCTCAGATGGTTAAGCGTCTGCCTTTGGTTCAGGTCATGATCCTGGAGTCCTGGGATCGAGCCCCACATTGGCATTGGCATCGGTGGCATCGGCTTTCTGTTCAGCAGGGAGTCTGCTTCTTCCTCTACCTCTGCCCCTGCCTTCTGGTCGTGTGCTCTGTCTCTCGCTCGCACACGCTCTCTCTCTCAAATGAATAAATAAAATATTTAAAAAAAAGAACTTAACCTGGATAATCAAGTTATTTCCACAGTAGCAGGCGACATTCTTTGCAGCCCAAGAGCAGCGAAAGGTTGCCCGGTCGGGCTGGGACCCAGGGAATCTGGGCAAGAGCTCCCACTTTCTGTTCCCTGGCACCTGGCACTGTACCACCTGCTCATTGAAGGCTGGGGTGGAATGCATTTCCTGGTCCCCCTCCCTGGCCTTAATGAAAAGGCAAAGCCTAAATAAAACACATGTTTACAACTGTTCTGTGCCAGAGCAGATGGCAGCCCAGCACATCAGCGCAACTCTGACATCCCTCACCGTCTGATGTAACTGTGAATGTGAGAGCTACAGGTGTTCTCATCTGGGAAAAACGTCAAGTACACCAGGACGTCCTCGGCCAGTTTGCAATCAGAACGTAATTTTGTAGCCTCCCAGCTATGATCCAGACTCTCAAACTATCTTTTTTTTTTTTTGTGCCTGCCCTCCTAGGCACTTGTATTATTTAGTGAGTATTAGCTCTTTTTTATTTGTTGACTAGTCTGTAGAGAATACACATAAACCTACTGAGTTTGATTCTCTTCTGTCCTCCTCCGCATTCATGCCTACTTTTCTATGAAAAAAAAAATCATTTTGGGGGAATGGGCAGTAATTCTTCTAGGAGATAAGAGGACCATTTAGTGTGGGGTGAGCATGAATAAATAGGAGTGTAAAAGAGAAAGGTTTCATCTTCAAAGGTGGAAGTCAGAGCATCCTTAGCTTTGCTTTGGAGGGCAGATAGGACCTTACTCATGCACCTGTGTCCACTGAGGGAGGATAGCATAAATTGCACGACTCAAGAAATTTAGAGCACTGGCTTTTTTTTTTTAAGATTTTATTTTATTATTTATTCATGAGAGACAGAGATACAGGCAGAGGGAGAAGCAGCCTCCATGCAGGGAGCCCGACATGGGACTCGATCCGGGGTCTCCAGGATCAGGCCCTGGGCTGAAGGCAGTGCTAAACCACTGAGCCACCTGGGCTGCCCGAGCACTGGCTTTTTAGGGCAAAAATGGTTTACTCCTTCCTTTAAAGTGCGAAAGAAAATATTTAATGAAGAATTTCGGCTTTTTCCACTAGTTGCTGTGGAGGAAAGGAGAATTTCCTCAGATAGCCAGTGCATCCCTAAAACAGTTCATTTTTAAATGAATGAACCAACTAATATTGAGAGTCTGGCTTCTTCTGGATGACTTTCTGGGGAAGTAGCAATATTGGGGACATATACCCTAGTGATAACACAAGGCATGGATGTCCCTTTCCAGAGGTTTCAGTCCTCAAAGCCTGCCCTCCAGAAACCAAGATCAGCTTCATGTCCAGATTTTTCCTGGTCTGCTAGGAACAGCTATTCTGTGCGCTATCACAAGGAGTGGGAACAAAGAGGGGAGAAACAGGTACCAGGCTGCAGTAAATGGTTCTCAAGGGTCCAAGTGAAGACCACCTTCCAGACAAACAGCCGGCGTACTCAGGCTGTCTAGGAAAGTAGTGCCTGCACAGTATTTTCACTGTAGTGACTGCTCAACAAATGGCTCTTGCGTCATGTTCCCATCATCTAACCCTGCTCAGAAAAGCAACTAGCACACTAAATATTAGCTATCATCCTAGTGGTTGTTGTTGCTGTTAAAATTTGGCTACAATGTTTGGAGGTATCCATTATTCGTGCTTAAAATTAGCAAAGACTTGGGCCCAGGAGAACACGAAGCAAATGCCTTTTGTTGTTTTGGGATGGGGATGTATTATTGAAAGCAAACTTTTAACTCTTCCTTTCTAAATCTTCTATGTTCACAGGAATACCCTGGTTGAGAACCACGGTTGCTACCCTGGGAAGACTAGGGATAACCATGGCCTTTGAAATTGTGTATTTGGTAAATTCAGAATTGTACCCAACAACATTACGGTAATTCCAACCTATATGTCACGGTTTGTCCTAAGTAATTCTGCAGTCAGACGTTTTGACTTAAAAACTATGAAATAGTTTCCTTAACTTGATTTATTAGCCTGAGCTGAATTCAGCCAATAAAGAAGATATGCTTTGAATTATGGGTGCTTTCCACATTTTTTTGATAGAAGTATTTCTCATAGCAGTATCTTGATACCCAGCTGTGGTTTTGTGGGATCAGAAAATCTTAGGGTACTTGCTTAGTGTGGGTTAAAGCCGTCTTCATCAGTATCACTCTGTTTAAAGGCTATCGCCTCTGTTCTGGCCACATTCCACCTCTTGCAGCTGTGAGCAGCTGATGAATGAAGGCCAAAGTGAAACAGTGTGCATGGGCTGCAAATTGGCCTCCTTTCCTGGGGGAATATTCGTGTGCACACCTTACTGTCAGTGAGTGTGCCAAGGTGCCACATAAGTACCACAGCGTGGGCTGGGGGGTGAGCGACCAGTGGAATGTTCCCCACCTCCCTGTCCTCACTGTGAGTCAGCATTTGCCCAGATGCAAAATGAGGCAGAATGGAAATGATTTGCTTAGAATAAGAGAGTAGTAGTTTTCAAAGTTAAAAACTATAGAAATGGTAAATGCTACTAAAATGTCTTTGTTACTTATACATCTGAATATTCTACTTATCTTGAAGGTACTTTAATATTTTTTAAACAATTTTGTACTCTACAGAAACTTTGGAGTTTCTCTCTGCTCAGGTTTATGTGATTTTGGGGGAATCATAGCTCCGTTTCTTCTCTTCCGGCTAGCAGCCATTTGGCTAGAACTACCTCTTATCATCTTTGGTAAGAACTCATTTTATACACTATTCCTAAATGCCTTCATCTATATTTTTTGTATTAATAGAACTCTATAGCAATTATGCGGTGTGCTATTAATGAGATGATTTAATTTCTTTAATGACAACTGCTTGGGTTTTGAGTAGTCCGTCTGATGATAATGAAATGTGAAACCCTAAGTGATTTCAATTTATTTTATATTAAAGGGTCCTGACGAGTCGTATTCAATTTAGCTTTCTTTGTTTAGGTTCGGAGTTAAATTCTGATGCTGGGAAACTTATGATATTGGGGAACAGAGCCAGTAATTTTCAAGGGAACAATTTGGATCCTCAGTTTATTTCAAAATAAGCCTAAAAACCGACTCTGTTTTTAAATATTCTGTATCTGTTGAGATCATGTCTTCATTTGCTTTGATGTGGAGCATGCTGTGCAGAAAGAACAGAGGACACAAAACCCCTTGCCCGTGTGCCCAGTAACCTCTGTGCTGTCCAAATTCATGCCTTTAATCTCCTCAGGCTGTGGGAGGGGATAGGACCATGGCTTAGGGGCAAGGGGCTTAGGATAATTCAGCCCAGTGCTCCTCAAGTGCTCTTCCAGCCTTTCTGCCTGGGTCTCATACCTGCCTCTGCCCTCCTCAGCAAGGAAGGACGCAAGTGGGCCCCTTTTTCCTGGACCTTTCCTCCACCTCTGTGTCCTTATTCCTGGTAGAGGATGTTTTTCTCATGTTGCCCAGCTATTTAAATTAGAATGAAAGTATCGAGTCCATGAGAACATACACCCTGAGCAATGCAAAATCCCTCGCAGTGCTAGCTAGCTAGGGACAGTAAGGCTTCTAAACACTTGACACCACCGAATTCAAGAAAAGATTATTTCAAATTATTTCATGGGATCTTATAAGCAAGCTTAGCGTTGAATCTGTGCCCAGCACGAAAAAGCAAAGAGAGCGCCGTTGTTCACCCAAGAGCAGGTGGTCAGGAAGCCCCTGGTTCAAGGTCTCGGCCTGAACTGCGGGGAGTGCTGGGAAAGCCAGCCCTTCCTGCAGAGTCTGGCTGGGGAGAGAGCCACACTTCCAAACCATCAGCCATGTCACAGTGTGGTAAATACTGAAAGCAGAAGGTGCCGAGGGAGCGCAGTACAGAGACACCTGACCTGCCTGAGTCAAGGAGGAAGGAAGAATGTCTAGTTAAGATCTGAGACGGTAGAAATTACCCACGTGGGAAGTGCCAGCTGGGGCTCCAGGCAGTGGGAAGGCCTAGTGTTCGAGGGCAAAACTGTTCTCCAGGAGCCAGGGTGTTAGAGGAAGGAGACAGTGTGTGTACTGGGCCAGGGAGGGAGGTGAACCTGGGAGGCAGACATAGGCCAGTTTGGGAAGGGTCTTCCCATCCTGCAAAGTTTCACTCTTTACCCAAATAGCAGTGGGAGCCAAGAGCTCTAAGCTGGGATTGACAGGGTTAGGTTTGCACTTTAGAAACCCGACTCTGATGGCACATATGCAGATGGGTCAGAAGGGACAGTGCTGGTGGTGGACCAGTTTCATCAGGTAAGGGCTCGTGACAGCCGGGGTTAAGGTGATGACACAGGGAGTGTTGGGCGTGGAGAGATTCCAGAAATGCTTAAAGCAAAGCTGGCAAGGGGGATGACTGAGTGGGCTTGCTGCAAGCAGAGGGAGGTGGGAAAGCTGGGTTCCTGGCTGGGGAGAGGAGAGATCGCCAGGGCCTTGTTGAGGGCACGCCAGAGGAGCAGTTCTACAGAATGTGGGGGAGCCTGTTGGGGCATTGGTCCCATGAAGTGCCTGCAAGGAAGCCAGTAGGCTTTGGGGCCTAAGCTCTAGAGATAAGCGTGGCCCAGGGACAAAGATCTGGAAGCCATCTGTGTGTAGATAACCATGGGAAGGGACTGCGTGAGAGCAAAGAAGGTCCAGGCAGGACAGAGCATTGAGGAGTGACAAAGCATCAGGCACGACAATAGAACAGGAGCCCATCAAGGAGAGGAAGAGGGACAAGAGAGGGATGGTGGTGAGGGGAGGAGGGCAGAAAGAAGCAGGCAGGGAGGCCAGGGCACGGCAGCGTGTTCACCAGCAGCCGGTGCTGCTGTGGGGCCAGACAGCAGGGCCCGGAAGCACAGCCAGTGGGTCTGGAGCTGGCAGGAGTGGGGCCTGGAGCCCAGGAGGCAGAGCCAAGAGAGAGCAGGTGAAGGTGAAGCCTGACCGTGGTGGTGAGTGCTGGTGCTGGTGCCCACCTGCCGAGGCCAACAGTGACATTTTCAGGAATGTTTGAGCCCGGTTGTTAACATAGCCATTCTTAAAACACATATATCAAATATATTAAAAACAAAGGTAATAAATAATGGTGTGATATGACCCCTAAGGAAAGGGAGGGAGAGCTGCAGTCAAGCTCTTGGTCAGTAAAAGGAAGCTGAGGGGATTCCTGTCTGGTGACTGCCATCTTCCCTGAGGAGCAGGAGGTGAGGTCTTCTCTGACTGGTCGGCACTTAGGCACCCATTAAATAATTGTTAAGGTAGTGATGGAGGAGTGGTGGCTGCGTGCAAGAGTACTGGGATGGTAGGGCTGCATAGCATCTGAGAAAGGTAGAGAACATTTCAAATATGGCAGAGGAAAACTGGAGAGCTGGTGAGGGTAAGCAGAGGGTTGCTGCTGGTAGGGGCTGGTTGAGGTGAGTGAGCACAGCTACTCCAGGGGGAGCAGGGAGGCATGACCGGGGTGGGCTGGCTGTGCCTTCCTGGTGTGCTACTGCCTTTCCCTATCCCCTAGGTATCCTGGCATCTGTCTGCGGTGGGCTCGTGATGCTTTTGCCTGAAACCAAGGGTATTGCCTTGCCAGAAACAGTGGATGATGTTGAAAAACTTGGCAGGTATTGTATGAAATTCAGCACATCTTTAATAAAAGCAGCATATCAAACAACAGAGGAAAAAGTACTGTGGAGAAAACTGAACACTCACAGGGGAAAATAATATTAATTCCCATCTCACATCCTAGGGTGATCCCCAAATCACCCTGAAGTTGATTTAGAAAGTTGATATAAAAAAAAAAACAAAAGTATAAAAGAATGTATATTGTTTTTTAAACGTGGTTATGAAGAGGGAGACATTTCTAAGTAAGGTGTTAAAACTCAGAAACAATCTAAAGGAAAGGACAGGATGATTTAACAAAGTAGAAATACCTTAAATGTGCATCAGTAGGAAACTGATTATGAAAATGCTAATGTATTCTGGGTGTGGATTACCATACGGAGATCAAAAGAATTGACATTTATCTGTGTGGAACGACATGGTAAGGTCCTCAAGATTGATCACAAAGGGAAAACTTGCTGAACAATGTGTTATAGTATTTATTAAAAAATAAAAGCATTAGTAACTCCTCTCTGTAGCTAGATGGGAAGACAGAGGACAGAGAGATATGGGATAGATGGATAGATGGATGGATGGGTGGGTGGATGGGTAAGTGGGTAGGTGGATGGATGGGTAGATGGATGGATGGGTGGGTGGATGGGTAAGTGGGTAGGTGGATGGATGGGTGGGTGGGTGGATGGATGGATAAAAGTAGAGAGATAGAAGGAGAGAGAGATTATGAGAGAAAAAGAAGAGCATCTAACCAGTATGCAAGGAAAGTTAATATCCAACCAATATATAAACATGGAGACTTATAGCAACAAAAATCCACACTACCACGAATTCTTTCTAATTTCCTCTGCTTGAAATATTTCACAATAAAAAGAGAGAAAAAAGGGATCCCTGGGTGGCGCAGCGGTTTAGCGCCTGCCTTTGGCCCAGGGCGCGATCCTGGAGACCCAGGATCGAATCCCACGTCGGGCTCCCGGTGCATGGAGCCTGCTTCTCCCTCTGCCTGTGTCTCTGCCTCTCTCTCTCTCTCTCTCTCTCTCTCTCTGTGTGATGACTATCATAAATAAATTAAAAAAAATTAAAAAAAAAAAAAGAAAATATAAAAAAAAAAAAAAAAAAAAAAAAAAAAAAAGAGAGAAAAAGGATATGAACAGAGAATGTGTAGCAAGAGGGCTACAGATAGGGAAATGAATTGGGAAGAAGACATCACTTTTACATTCTGTAGACTTTTGTATTATTTTATTTTCTAATTACAACACATGGCCTTGTATTATCTGCATAATTAAAAAAAGTTTGTAACAGCTAATTTTTAAAATAAAATTAGTCTTCTAAATAAAGACCAGAAGTTAAGGGTATGGAATCTCTAAATTTAAAAAAAAAATTACATCAAATAATATTTATAAGAAGACTGAAATGTTATTAACCTCATGGCACTCTTCACTCGTAGATTGGGAAGAGAGTAGAAGTCGACATTTTTTAAGTGCCTATATGATCAGTGGTTTCACATATGTAATTTCATTTAATTCTCAAAGTGATTTTGGGCAATTGCAGTTCATAGCCTCACTCTTTTAGGTACTGGGAAATTTGTGTTTAGATAGATTCATAACTTCTCCATGCCAGGAATGGCATTGATGCTGTCCAGTGGGCACATGTGCCTTGGTTGTGTGTATGCTTTTCTTATTTTATGCTGCATACTACTTGATGTTTTCTCTTCAGATTCTCTTTTAATGAGATGTCATCCCTCCTCCCCAGCGGTAGGCAACAATTGCTAAAAGTCTCATGAATCTTTTTCCAAACCTTTAAAACTTACAAACTGATTTCATTGTCCTGTTTCTTGATGCTATTTCAAAAAGTATGATCGACTAATCATCCCAGAACTTTCCTAAGAAAAACTTATCAGTGTATTTAAAATAAAACCGTCAGCTCATATCTCAGTAGCTGGCCTGGCCTGTCAGAGGACAGGGGAACATTTGCCCATGAAGTAATCCGAACAGATTTGTACGCTTGTTTGGAAATCAAGTGGTAAGTAATGGCTTATTTCTTACCCAGAGCTCTACCTATTTTTCACCCTAGAACAATGCTACCTGAAATTCGGAGTGAGATGGAAGATTCTCTTTAAGGTTTTGCCATTTTGTCAATCAAAATTATGAAATTTATGAAAGGTGTTAAAACCGTGTGAAATCCTCTTGAGCGTTAAACCATTGTAAAGTCCTGCCTCATCCAGAAAAGAGAAACATTTTGCTATCTGTGTCTTCCTAGGCAATTGCTTGGTTTGTATCCGAGCTTGGGGGCCACGCTAGGGTGGGTGGCGTCCAGTCCTGTCACATGAAGAACTTACGTGCTGCAATGCTACTTAACCCATGCCTGGGGGCCGAAAATAGTCTTTAAAAAAATTTTTTTAAAGCCTGGAGACCGTCATTTTCATTACCTTGGAATTGGGTTTTTATGAAAAGTTATGCATGAGTGTGTTTGAACAAAACCAACTGTAACGTTGGGTAGTAGCAAGAAAACTTTGTTGGGATTAGTTGTATAATATTTCCTAAGGACTTTCTCTTTTCTCCTTGTTTTGTTAGTCCATATTCGTATAAATGTGGCAGGAAAAAGAAAACTCAAGTTTCCAGCTCTCACCTTTGAGACTCCCTGCCAAAGAAGAAAGGAAGGAACCGATGTGCCTTGCAGACACGTGTGTGTGTCCATTTCAGCTACCTTATGCTGTGTGCCTCCACGTGTGTGTCGTACTGTACAAAGACATTCAGACTATCCAGAGTATTTTTCTATAATGTGGGCTGAGTTAGGATTTATAATGCTATTGAAGTTTCTGGGAACATATAGTATGTGGCTGGTTTAGCAAAGGATCTGTTGTGCGGATAGCTCCCCCGAGTGATTTCCTGAAGTTGGAGCAGTGTCTCTGACCCTTTGGGTTACTGAAGGACGAGAGAAGCCCTCCGCAGAGTCCCATGACCGCTCACTCCATCACAGATGCAGGATGTGCCACCTGGGGGTCTGGGAACAGGGTATAGAAAGTCCTTCATCAAACCTGATCAAGGAACTCAAGCTCTGACCTGAGTGCTCCGAAGCTCCCAGGGAAGATCAGGATCTGGAGACAGTGAACCTAAGGACCTTGGGCCACGTGGTACTGAGCCTTCCCTTTCTCTCCTTGCTCTGACTCTGTAAGCGCTGTAGCATCTGGGCTTGTTGGCACATTCAGGCCTCATTCCATGATTCAGAACAAATCCACTGTCCAATCTGAGGATTTGGCTCTGTTATTTCATCAGTCAGTTTGGGCCTGAGATGATTTGGAATAGCTTGGTCCCGCCTTAGTGGACATCTAGAGCCACACACTCAGTTCCTAATTGAACAAAACCCATGGAATATGATGTCATAGGTCTTCATTTTCATCGTAAAGGGATATTTATCTTACACCTGGGAGTTCAGTTCTGTGATGCTGCCTGTGGTCAAGAGTGAAAAACACGGATTGGTCTTGTTCAATCTTGACACTTTTGTCTTGGGAGGAAGCTTACATTTTAATTTAAAAGAAAGGTCAGTTATATCCATGCTTAAAAGAATTAGCAAAAGCTTTATAACTGATGTCATTAGACACTAATAAGGAATTTGGTCCCTTTTTTGTTACGGAGACTTTTGAAATGTGGAGCTTACATGCAAACATGTTATCTTTCTCTGTTGTTTTGCTTTATGTGTTGTATTTGTTGTATTTTCAGATTCAGAGTAAATCTGATGTAGACTTTTTTTTTTAATGAATTATTTTGTGTGGACAGACAAAATGGGCACCAAGGGAAATCTTGCCAATGAAGAAGAAAATTCTATGTGAGCACGTGACAATATGTACAGCGTGTGTGTAAACAAGCTTTTTAATCCTTAAAGCACAACAGAGTTGAATATGAGTGTTTTCTTTTTCAACGAGGCAAACACTGCTCTTTGAGGACTTAAAGCTGCAGTCACCCATTCACGCACACTTGGGTTTTTGCTCTCTCTGCATTTCTCATTGCTGTAAGATGACTGTTCCTCCTTGAAACTCTCACCTTGCAATTGTATTTTGAGTTGACATTTTGGTTCTGATAACAATAAAAAATTTTCCGTTGTCAAGTAAAATTAGTGTTCATTTCCTTTCTTCCTTTTGACCATGTGTCACTGTCAAACACTATTCCCATGAGACCATGTGTACTTCCTATCTGCGCAGCCAATGAGCAATGGAAATTAAGTGGTCCACCTTCAGTGTATGTTCGTTGTTCCTTCACAGGCCCTTGGTACCATTCCTGGATTCAGATGTGACCCAGAATAGCATTCAGACTCTCTACTGGTCTTGTATTACACTTGCATTGCCCAGTCCCCTTCACAGTGTACAATTCTCTGCCCAGTATCTCCTGCGCTGGGGTAACGTCAAGTTGTCAGTAACACATTTCATTCCCAAGAATAGAATTTGTTCTCATGACTCCCCATATATCCTGAAGCTCTGAAAACATTCATCTCAGTGCCAGAAATAAAGACTTTAGAGATGTATGTCAAGCTGTCTCTTGCAGACAAGATAGATATCTGAGTGACTTACTGGGACCTCTCTGCTCCTTTCTCTATGATCTTACAGTCTTCTTAGTCCTTTTTGCAACTATACCTTATAAGGAAGCGAGAAATCACCTAAGTCTATTAGAGTTACACTACTTAAAATTGGTAGGATAAACAAAGAACACGAAACCAATGAAGTTCAAAAAAAAAAATTAAAGGAAGTACAGAGTTTATTTTCAATAAATGTTATAGATGTGTCACTTATTATTACAGAACCCAACAGTCCACGCACGGGAAACATTTATCCACAATAATACTAAAAAACGTTGAGGTTTGGCAGTAGATGGTATAAGTACAGTGTCTTGATTTGATTACTGTCAATTATTTCTAAGCATGCTAAATTCCCTACCCGTGTTCTGGCTTCTAGGTATGTTGATGAATCACTCTGTCTCCCATCCAACTAATTATTTCTCATTATTCCTTCAATCCAAGTAACAAACCTTGACACACGAACATAGACACCGGGCTTATTGGGACGGGCACAGCCAAGACCCCAAGAAGTGACTCCTTGTAAAATGTACTTGTCCTTCTCGAAGCAAACCAGAGGTCCTCCACTGTCACCCTATACAGAGAGAGAGAAAAAAAAAATCCATGTGAGGAGCAAACCACCATCCTTTTATTATGGGATGTCATCCTTCTATTATCCAAGTATAAGTTTTCCCAGCATTTGAACATTCTTTTCCAATTAGAAAGGAACTTACTAATATATTATTTGAATATCTGCTGTGCTTCAGCACCTAACAAAGCATATTTAACACAACCGCACCAGTTCGTGTTCCTGGGGAACAGCTCCCTTGTGAATATGGTCCTCATCCCTTCCTGCCTCGGGGCTTCCCTTAGGCAGAGTAAATCCAAGAGCAATTTCAAAGGGGGTGTAGTTGGTCTTTGTCTCACATTCTCCCTCACTTCTCTACCAGAAAGGCCATCCATCAGCATACTCTCCAGAAGATGTGGGGGCTGTGGCAGTGATGGTACTCACCTACTCCCTTACAACTGATCTAGAACTCACCAAGAAATCCCCTTAGGTGAGCTCAATCAGAACTCAGAGACAGACCTCAAATATTTCTGGGTAGCATTTGGACTACAGCCTTCAGTTGACAAAGCCTTCCTGAATTTGCCATTTTGGGGGCTGAAAGATCTAAGAGGCCAAGACAGGACAGCAGAAGATTGACTTTGTTCTTACCTGACAACTGTCTGTGCCTCCAGCCAAATTCCCCGCGCAAAGCTCTGTCGATTGGACTCTTCCATTCAGATACTCATAGCGATTACACACTTTGTTCTCGATCACAGGCAGCTGGGCTTCCTTGAGGAGCCCCGCGCCATACGTGCCTGTGTTTAAATAAAGATTAAAGAAATGGTTACTGGATCCAAAACATGCCCACAAGGAAAATTCTAGAACAACAGAGCAGCAAGGACAGATCTCTTGGTTGTCCACGAGGTTGTATAAAGCAAGAAGTCAGTTCCTGATACTACCAGAATGCTTTTCATGTTAACCCTTGGAGGTATAAATATATAAAATTTCATGTTCCCAAGATCTGGATTTAATAACCTGAGTTTCTTTACAGTGTTTGGGGGTATCTGTTGTTATTTTTGTTTCTTTTTTTTTTTTAACTATAAAGATACATTTTTCAGTAGGAAAGAGAGATTGAGAAATACAAGTGTTACCATAACATCTATTCACTTTCAGATGCTTTTTTTTCTTTACTACTTATATCATATAGCACAATTTTATATCCTGTTTTCACACAACAGTATATAATAAGGGCTTTTTTAGAACACTACAATCTTCATAATTAGAATTTTAATGGGCAGTAACTGCTTCAGGGGTGTGGGGTTTCCTTTTGAAGGTCAGGGGAGTGTTCTGCAAACAGTGGTGGTGATTGCACAACATGGCAACTACTATAGGCCACTGACTTATACTCTTCAAACAATTAAAATAGCTAATTTTACATTATATACATACTTGACCACAACATAAAGAATGGCGGTCATGTACTAGAATTAACCTTTTCAGGCACAAGTGTGTTAGGTGATGTATCTCATTTAACCCTTGCACAAAATGGATATTTCTGTCGTTCCTGTCGCACAGAGAAGGTTGCCGAGACTGGGAGGGGCCGTGCACTTTGCCCAAGATCACCCAGCAACTAGTTGGAGGAGCTGGGATTTGACGTCTGTGACGTCATTGCCCAAGTCTTCACTCCCCTGCTCCTGGGCTCCTACAGCAGCTTCCAACTTTCCACATCTTTGTTCATGCATTTTATTTATATTCCTTAGTATTTTCTTAACACTGTTTTCCCAGGAATTATATAGACATGTTTATGGCTCCCAGTCAACATTGCCTAATTTTTCCTAAAAGGGTACGACAATGTAAAATTTTACTAGAAAAAAAAAAAAAGGCCACTTTGCTCCATGCTTCTTGAGTATTTAACATTTTTTAAGTACCTGCTAATAAAATAGGTGGAAATTGTCCTAGTTCATGTCCTAATTTGCACTTCTTTTCCAATCAGGAGGAGTAAACACTGTCTCGTGTGCTTGTTTTACTCGTTGTATTTCTTCTTTTGTGAAAAACTACATTTTTTTTTTCATGTTGGCAAATCAAAATGGAACACTTGCAAACCTGTCAGAGGAAACGATGCTTTTCCAGATAGACACACCCGGGCACGTCTCCGTGTTTTCACAAATAAATCAGTTTTCCAATTCTGCAAGGCCAGCGTTAATGCATTTTGAAAAAAAAAAAAATCTTTGCCAGCATGGAACAGCCAAGAGATGAGGTGCTATTTCTTCTCCAAAGACTTTAAGTACATTTGGATAACTGTCTTGAGTTTGGAAAACTCACGCTGGATCCAGAGTTGACAGGAGCACATAAGAGGGAAGGGGAGGCTTGTCCCAGGCCTGGCTGGGGAGAGGCCTGGTGGAGGAAGTGACCAAGGAAACATTGGCTGGGGGAGGTGCACTACTCGAATTGAGTCTATGTATGGAGGGACCAGCCTTCTCAGAATGTTTTGCTGAAAATTAATTTATCCAAACGTCTTGCTCTTGCATCTGCTTTCTGAGCCAGCTACATCCTGATGCTGGTGACAAAATCTACCCCCAGTTGACAGGAAATCGATGTGGTCTGTGTAGAAGTGCTGCCATCTGGTGGCCACAGAGGAGATGGCACTTCTGAGGGCGGGGAGGCTGAAGGTGACCCAAGGAGGAAGCCCTGATTTCAGGGAGATGTAGGAGCCCTGAAAGCTGATTTGGGGTGAACCTGAATGAGCCCCTGGGCCTGAATGCTTTCCTTGCCTCGAAATATCAAAGTCAGGGAAAGCCTGGAGACCAAAGGGGAGAACAGGAGTGCTCCCACTGAGAAGCTTATTATTGACATCCAAGAAAATCCATTAACAGGCAGGACATCTGCTTTCTGACTCCTCCTGGTCCAGTGCATATACTGAGAATGGTCTCCCAGGGCCGCGAGGGTGAGGCCAGCATAGATGGGGGAGCCTGGCACAGGGTGGTGGTGAGGAAAGCGTGGTGGTGGGTGGAACAAATGGGCGGCAGGTGGGCTTCGAGGGGTCCAGCTCTCCACCAGCTGTGTGCAAGTGCTTCCCAGGGTGCACGGCCCCGCACCTCTTGGAGCCTTGGATCCCTCATTTGCAAAATGGGGGAGGAAATACCAAAGTGATAGAGGTTTTTGGTGTTTAATTTTTTTTTTAAGTGCAAAACACTGGAACGGCCAGTCACATCCATGGTGTCCAGGGTGACCGCTTCGCTTCTGAAGTTTCCCTTCACATCTCAATGCTCACAGACCCCAAGATACAAAAAGGAGGAGAGCGTGCAAAATTCAGGAGATGGGATTTTACAAATGTAGGAAAAATGCAGTAAGAAGGAAGACAAAATTGAAGTGATTTAGATCGGTCGTTTTCACTTTTTTTTTTTTTTTTAAACCACAAAACCTTTCTGGAAGTGAAAGCGTGTGCAGAAGAATAACGTGTAAGGCACAACTTGAAAGCCAGGGTTTTACAGCTGAGGGCTTCCAGGCCACATGGCACAAAGAGATCAAGTGACTTGTCCCATTTGCCCAGCCAGTGGCAGAGCCAGATCTACTCTGTGGGGCTCCTGACTCCCATTCTGTGCCCTCTCTAACACATAGCAGAAAGTGAGGCAGAGATGGAAGACATCCTTACAATGTTTCGGGGCCCAAGTCTGATGGGTGTGGTTACTATCAGGGCATACTGCAAAGAGAAGACGGGGTCCCCAAAATGCAGTACGGGTGCTGATACAGGACCCGGCATAAGTGTTTCCCCTCTCGCGCACACCCCAAATGCCATCCTAGGACCAGGACCTTCTTTCTGTCCCCTAGCTGCCAGGATGTCCCACCACCAACAGTCCCTGCACACATACAACAGGAATGTGGGTATTTGGGGAGATGAGCCTCACTGTAATTTTTGGTGTCGTTGCATACCATGTTTGGGAGCTCAGTATAGCTAACTTCACATGGTAAATAATCCAACACCCTTAACTTGTAGGCTTGTTTCAAAACCCTACTTACC